AGCGCGATCTCAAAAAAGTACCTAACAAGGCTATTAAATTACCCGAACTCACTAGTAGATGAGCTGTGATCAGATATCAACTACTTACGCCGACTAAGAAGATTTTCTACGTCGGATCTACCCAATAAAAGTCAAAAAAAGTGAATCGTAATCGTTAACTCACTGATATTAAACATTTATAGCCAAGGATTTATTTATTATTAATTGTAATTCAGTCTCTAGCGGTATTTACTACTGAGTGTCTTGTACATGTCTACATAAAATAATAAAAAATAAAATTATTCTACAGCTGGCTTGTGATTTCGTTCTAATATAACATAGAAAGTAAATTTATTATTGAAATTTCACAGCAAATTAACCAAACTCCATGTTTGAATATGTAAGTCGCCATTGAATCAGTTGGTTAACGAGCACTGACTCTGAGCTTCAATTTTGGCAGGGCTCGAGTTCAACCCTTGACACTTGATACTTACTTGTTCTCTCAAAATATTATTTACGAATAATTAAATACAAGAAATAATTGTAAGACCACTGCTAATTGGTATATGGCAATACTCGACACAGCTGTATGGTCTGCCAAAATTCAATTAATTAAAATAATACAAAAAAGAGGAATTTGTTTTGTTTTGAAACCTCTATCTGCATAAAAAATTAAATTTCCAAATTATATCTTTTTAAATTCTATCTTAACAAAAAGTAATATTCATACATATTTATTTAGTTAAAAGTGAAAAAAATTTTAGAAAATAAAAAATTAAATTTCTAACTAATATCTTGAATTATATTTGGTAGTACGATATTCCTTATATGTTTTTTAAATTGATTTTTAACAACAGCTTTGACGAATGAAACTAGATCCTTAATATAAACTATCGTTTTCAATAGAGTGGTGTCTTGAATAGTAGTAAACTACAACAATAAAATTTTAATTATTTATTAATTAATTGGATTGAATATTGATTAATTCAATTTATTGGAAACAGCCGTATCGAGTACTGGTTGTTATATTTTTAATAAAAATAATAATTTCTTGATATCGAAAATATATTTAACAACTTTAAATACAGCATTTATCTCATTTCATAAATTTTATATATATTTTCCTTACTTATATTTTCATGAAATTACCCACTACTTGTGTGCATCTGTATACATTTTCCCTTGCAACACATCATTACTGAAAATTTCCGATATAACACAGATTGGAAGTAAAGTCGTTACGTGATGGTCACATTAACACAAACAAGGAGCGTCTTACTATCGAATGGTTGCAACAGTCTGTATCGGAAATACGCAAACAACTCATCGAATTGCAACAGATTGCCACAAAAGCTACAAAGGATGTCAATTTTCATACACAGAATTTCGAGGATTTGGCAACTGTTCGTAATGACTTTCAACAACTTAAACTGGAAGTAGTCTCCCTACAGGAGCGCCAACAACAGAGTGAAGTTTATGTGCAGGAACTACGCGAAGAAATAATGCAGCAGGAAGAGGATTATAAACGTCTACTGCATAATCTCAAAGGATTACAACAAACCGATGTAAATGCACAAACTGCAGTGCAGTACAAAGGAGAACAGAGCGAGGATGTTAAGGTAAGCGGTATTCAATTCATTAATAAGAGAAATGTTACGCATGCCTTATATAAATGCCATTTTCATTTTATTAATGGAATACGTTGGCAGTAAAATGTGTTGTTTAAAAGTAAATTATAAATTGATTAAATAAAACAATCTCATTTAATTTTATTTTCCATTTTGTTTTGAAAACTTTTCATTGCAATAATAAATGAAAGTTTCCTTCTTGCTCAAAAGATTTATAGATTTTATGCTTTAAATTGTATGAACATAAACCTAGAATAGTTAATTCCACAAACATTCCATTATTCAAATGAATTTTTTTCCCAAACTTTTGCTACTTCGACAATTATTAATGAACTTCGTTGAACTGACTTGACATACAATTTGCATAACAAATTTTTATAGCAAACATTTTATAAATATTATCGCCAAAAACGTATTTTCAACAACAACAAACACAATTACTACAAATTGCAATAGCACAGATACATATCCGGCCTTCCGTCAATAAACTGTCAAAATAGCAATCGAAATCGTTGGAAAGTTCTACTCCAGCACATCCAACCGATTATTCTGACGCTGCTCATTAGCTTGACTGTTCGTCTGGCTGTTGTTATTCCCATTTTTCTACTCAAAGTCAAATTGTTATCAATTTTGTTATCTGAAAGCTCCTATAAATTCCTACAAGCGTTTCCAATCTAAATATTATTTAAAAACGCAAAAAGGCACTGTCATTCTTACACAAATACAAATAAAACTCAGTATTCAGTTTTATCCGAAACAATCGCAATTTCAGGCTCAGCTCTTCTTCCCGAAATTTCCATTTCTGTACTTTTTTTATATGGTAAATATTTTCGTATTTATTTATTTGGTATGCTAAAGAAAAATACTTCGTGGATATGTTGATCGAATGATGAATATATGGAATAAATTGCCTGTTTAGCTTAGAGGTATTGTTGTCGACCATCAGCAATATTTTCAACTTTTATTGATTGTAAATTTGCTTTTCACTTCACGTCCAACAATGGTGAATGCCAAAGAGTGAATTTTAAAAAATATAAAAATATTTTGAATTATTACAAATAAACAAGTCCATGAGTTGAAATAAAAAGGAATGGAAATAATATTTCATAAAATAAATAAAAAGGGCTTTAATATAAAATTCATTTAAAAAATCTACATGGATTTCAGACATATTAAATTAAATTCATAAATTGTCTTGTAAACGTTTTTTTAACTGAAGTACTTTAAATAGTTTAAATCTTACTAATAATCGATTACTTTGTTACTATAATGTTTCTATAATAGTTCTGATCACCAGATACTTCTTCACCTTCCATAATTAGAGAATGTTTACCGTTTTATACCCTCACTCCATTACAAGAAACTCCAGTAACGAAGAGTACATTTATCTTTTGAATTTATTTAGTTTCGGATTACCGATGGTAATCCAAGAAAATAGATGGTCTAGACACTGCTGTTTCGATGATAAGGATTGAGAAGTGATTGTTTGATGAGGTGCAGGCTTATGGAATTTCTTGGTTATAAGACTGCAACTCCAACTTAGCCTAAGCTAACTGCTTTGACAACTTATTCCTACAGGTAGCTAAATTCAAGCAATCATAGAAAAAAAATATGTTCTTTTTTATTTTTCCTATCATTTTTACAATAAATGTTAAAGGACATACTTATCAGTTTTGATTATCTTTCTGTCATAATTATCATAAATAATTTATAGTAAATCGCTATCATAATTAGCGCATATTTATCGTTTTAATAGCAAATTTTTAACAAGATACCCCGATTGGATGCATCTAAATAAATTTATATAGTTTAACAGATTCTTCACTTCAACCATCGAATATTTACCAACATACTGTCAAAAAAGTACTTCCTTAAAAGTCTGTCATAAAAGTTTGTCAGTGAAAAAATCGTGAGAACCCTTTTTGTCTCAGTTTCCACAAATTTGGCAATAAATGTTAAAAGTAATCTGCAGTTTTTTTAAATGGATTACTATAGGGGAGTAAAGAGTACTAATAGTGGAAAGCACTGCAGTTAACCTGGTAATATTAATACTGTCCTAATAATATGTATCCAGAGACTATACCTATTAGACTAACACGAATTTAGTCAGCATTTATTATATGTTTTTACTGACTTTTACTTATTATTAACCAACTTAAGAAAGAGATGGTAGATACCCTTGTTAATAATCTCTAGAGGAATACAAACCAACACTTTGATTGACGAGGTTCATTTTAAAAGTGTAAAATTGAAAATTCTTAAGTCAATGAAAATGACAGCAGTAGACCTATCACACGCTATATAGTCTGCAATTAAACGATATGCTGTTTCAATCGATAGATCTTTCACAGAAACTGAAGCCTTATTTAATAATAGATAAAAATAAATATATGTAATTGAGGAGAATATTCATGCGGACTATTACACTATTACTGACAAATGATTTCCTACATAATTATATAGAAAACATTATAGTTTACAATCAAATTAGTAAAGTTTTGCTATTGCATTATACGGCGTTTACATTGGCCGAAAATGGCTCATTTTGGTCAAAAATCGAAAATGAGTATCGAATGGCTCATTCTTGCATATAAAATTTCAAGCACAAAAATGAGCAATTTTCTCACATTCTGTATGAATGACGTTCGAATGCATTTCACATACGTTCCAAATGCAAAGGAATCCATTGAACATACCCTAAATGAAAGCTCTTCATGGCATTTTGACAGTTTGAAAAAGCTGTTTTTAACATATTTACAAAAAAAGGTAAACAAATGTTTGGTGGTTGCATTTTCTTGAAAACGATGCACTGCTTTTTAGAACTTTTATTTCCCAAAAAGTAATTAATCGAAGTTAAAAATATGTTTTAAGTTTCTAATGTAAGGTTTGAAGGCATATTTAACCTTCATGCAACATTTTTTTGGCACGGGCCAAAAATCAAATCAACATGCAAGTTGAAAAATCAGCTGTTGAAATGAGAACAAATGAAATAGAACGAATGTAAACACTTTCAAATGGCTCATTCAAAATGAGCCATTTTCGGCCAATGTAAACGCCATATTAACAAATAATTCATTTTTAATTAATTGATTTTTTTAGTTCTTTTCGTCGTTTCCATTGGCATAAGCTGATTAATGCTTGTGAAAAATCTTGTTTATTAACATTTTACATGTAAAACATGTAATAAATATTTAAAATTTTGGTAAAATGGAGTTGGCGGAACTTTATTTTTAAGGGTTGCATTATATATTTTTTGCCTCAAATCAGTTGATTTATTTATAATGAGTATAATAGTTTTTTGTACTGTAAATTATCTTCATTAGTGGCGTTAACAAGCAAAACTGCTTAAATGAAACAGGTGGAAACATGGTGTAAGAATGATAATTGAGGAACACATATGAGCGTGAATAAACTTGACTTATTGCAAGTTTTTAAATAAGGATTTTTGTAAGAAACAGTAGTCTGAACTAATTAAACTAATTTATTTTGGAATTTTCTTGAAGGTAATTTCAAATAAATAAAGCATTCTCTTAATTTCAATTATTTATTTAAGAATAATTAAATTATCTCTTTATTTGGAATTATTTACACTAATTACTAAATGAATTAATTAAACAAATTAATTATATGAATAAATTGAATGAATAAAATCAAATAAACAAAAGCAAATGTTTTTAAGATTTTTAAATATTTAACAAACATTTATTGAAGTTTTCAAAGTATTTTCAGAGCAGTGATAATCGCTCTTAGTAGGTGTTTACAATCCTGACGTGTGTGTGAGGACTTTTTCAAGCAACAAATGCCCTAACAACTTGTTTACTAAGGCAGCTTCACTGGTTTTTATCCAATGATTTTATGCTTCAGATCTTCCTTAAAGTGATTTTAAAATGAGAAAAACATTTAAGTATGTACTTTATGTTCGCAATCTAAAGGACCGCACTTCAGTCGAGCTCCACAAGTTGGTTGCCGGTTTTAAAGTCTCAAAATGGGCAAAAATGCTTAATGCACAGCCAAATACAAAATTGTTGAAATGCTTTTACCAAAAGGAGTCCTTCTGTTTTAGTTTAAATATTTTGCATAATGAATGCGATGATTGCAGTAGGAATGTGTATCATTCCTCGAGTGAAAAGTGATTTTTAAAAACAGGAAATTCAATTTTAATATAGTTCTTATATATTCTTTTTTTACTTTCGAAAAATAAAAGGAATTTAATGGTAATAGACTCTTATGTGACATACAACCTATATTATTTTCGCTTTAGTGGACTTTTGGTATGCAATCCCGCCACTTTAACTTGATCTATGTGGTATAATAAAATTTTTTAGGGATAAAAAATTGCTTTTTTGAAATGCTACAATGTCCATGTTTAATACTAGTGTTGATTTTTAATAGAAACTACATGAAATTCTGAAATTTTTGGTTACTTATAGACCTACTAATAGACCTACTACTTCGTTATAAGATTGCATTTTTTTGATTTGTGTTGATTTGGCTTTAACTAGTCGGTCCGAGACGTTTCTCAGCAAATATATATGTATATATATATACATACGGCTCTATTCTGTGCACTTGACAGATTTGTCAAATTATTTAATAAAATTTTTGATTTTTATAAAGCTGAAAGCTTTTTGGTATTCTGGACACATCTTGACAAATTTCAAAGCTCAAGTACCTAGTGTTTCTCACAACACTATGGTGTAAACTGTTTTGTATAGAAAACTGTTCGTAATTGTTCGTAACTGTTCGTAAAAAATGCTTGTAAAGAGCACATATTTTAAGTTGCCAAGTAAAGAGCGTACATTTTAGTTAAGAATATTTGTCATGCATGCAAAAAATAAAAAATGCTTAAAAAGAGCATATTTTTAAAGTTGTCAACAGAATTTGTAGTATTGACAACTAACAAGGAAAAGAGCTTTTTATTTATGTCACAGAATACCAAAACCTTTACAGCAGTCAATTTTGACAAATGTCAATGTTTGACAAGTTTATAA